GCGTGTTTTTGCATGTCTTGGTGGAACAAGTAATGATGGCTAAAAGCTCTGGAGGACAACCAATCTTCTGGAGGATCCAGAAGAACCTCTTTGGCTCACCAAGTCAAAGCTTTGGTCAGGTCCACAAAGGCAAGAAACAGTGGTTTCTGCTGCTCACGACACTTTTGCAGTTGACGGAGGGAATCATGTCCACTGTGGACCTTCCAGCTCTGAAGCCACACTATGACTCAGGATAAACTCGTGAAGCGAGGCTCTGTAGGCGGTTTAATGCGACTCGTCAAAGATCTTGCCCAAAGAGAGATACCGCATAGCTATTACAGTCACTGCGGTCACCCTTGGGGAGGTGTCCTTCCTCCCAGCACAAGGAGAGGAGATCGTAAAGTGGCTGTAAGATTGCTGCTTTCCCATGTTTGTAAAACTTCTGGGGGATGCCATCTTTCCCTGGCGCCTTGCTACAGGTGAGGCAGTCGATGGCTTTGCTGAGCTCCTTCAGTGTAGGTGTGGTGTCCAGCTCCTCCATGACTGGTAGGTCAGACAAGGCATTGAGGGCAGCGTCTGACACAATGTTCTGAGTCGAGTAAAGTTCAAGGTAATGCTCGACCAACGCTGCAACTGTTTGCTCTGGTCAGTGATGATCTCACCAGTTTTTTTATTTAAGCAGAGCTGTTTTGATGCTCATGGGGCCAATAGCTGCTTTTGATGCCCTCATATATCCCCTTGGTGTGACCATGATCAGCAGCTAGCTGGATGTTGGTACATAGGTTTTGCCAGTATTTGTTGGGCAGCGGCTGGGCCTTGCTCCTAGCTGCTCGAAGGGTTGTTGGTGTGCTAAGGCAAGGTTCTGCTTGTAAGTCAACAGTGCTTTCTCTTTGGTCTCAGTGACTGGTTCCATTTCGTCCCAGTGTGACTCAAACCAGTCAGCATTCTTGGTTCTTTCTTTCAGAATGCAGCTATGGCTGAGTCATATATGGCATCAGGCAGGTGAAACCATTTGGTGTCCATTTGGCCACAATCACGTCGGCACCGGTGCTGCCTCTCTCTGCGTAGTTTCCGTCACCTCACTCGGCACCGGCACACTTCACTCGCATAATTGCCCTTACGCCGAGTTAGCCGGCAGACAAGCACGGCGAGGTCCGCTGCGCTGATTCGCCGCGACGCGAAAGATAAGAATGCAGCCGTCGGCCAATCAGCGCATCACAACCGCGGACGACCTTGCAGTATTACTGCACCCTTTTGTATTTATACTGCATTTCTCGCCAAAAATAAACACACTTCATCGTCTTCTCTGCAGCGAGTTTAATTCTCCTGTCTGCTCAAGGCCTAGGGCTCTCTCAATTACCTCGCCCTAGGCCTCTCTACATACATATATATATAATAATATATATATATATATATATAATTACAATCTCTCCAAATTCACGGCCTGTGCTAATAAAATGATTACAAGAATGCGTTCGAAAACTATTGTGCATCGAGTATGAAGATTCGCGAATCCGAGGTTCCGAAAGCGTCTGAGCGCTATTGCTTACTTCACTCCCAGGTACACGTGTAAACGGTGGACTAACTTTGAAAATTAGTTCGAACATCTGGAACCTTATTATTGTTTCTAAGTATACTGGTGATGTATATCTTATCCATGCGTCAGGGTATGAGGTGGAACATAAGGAAATAAGTGGTGGTGTTATAGTGTTATTGGTATTGAATGTAATGTTATGCGATAATCCGGTGTTGTGTGGAAACATGTGCGATGATCTACTTCAGAATTACGGAAGAAATTCTATTTATCAGTCATGTTGAATGTTGAATGATTTTGAGGTGTATTTTAAATTAATGGGTAGAGATTACGGAGACGGACGTGCGTAGATAGAGAGAAATGGACACCGCCATCTTACAGAGCGNCCCTCTTCTCTCCCTCCTCCCCTCCTTCTCTCTCCCCCTCTTCTCCTCCTCCCCCCTCTTCACCCCTTCTCCTCGCTCCTCTCCCCCTTCTTTCTCTCCTCCCCCCTTCTTTCTCCCTCCTCCCCCTTCTTCCTCTCCCTCCTCCCCTCCCTTCTCTCACCTCCCCCTCCTCTCTCTCTCTCCCTTCCCCCCTTCTTCTCTCCCTCCTCCCCTTTCTCTCCTCTCCCTTCTCCCTTCTTCTCCCCTCCCCCTGCCTCTCGTCCCCTCCTCTCTTTCTCTCTGTATTCCAGTTCCTCATTCTTTACACGCTGACAACACAATCCTTACGAATATGTGGCAGAAGTTGACGAGCATATATATACTTGTTTAGAACCGCAAATGCGCTTCATTCCTGTAAGCATTCACTTGTTTGATAGCGAATCCTCTTCCCGTCGTGCTTAGAGAGTTTGAAACTGTGGGACGCCGTGTTCAAGCACTTTTCCGTCGCGGTGTATGCAGATTCCTTCATTTTTTTCCCTCTGCTGTTTGCCAAGTCTTTCTTGAATCACACGCGCACTTGCTTCCAGTTATTTACGTATATCACAGTGGCGTTTGAGGTCTGTGGTTGTCGGTCGGCATCTGCTCCTCTACACATTCGAGAATAGACATACATCGTGGGTATGTATGTGTGTGTGTATATATGTGTATGTGTATTGATTGTATGTGTATATATGTGTGAGAAGCGAGTAGTGAGCGAGCGAGTGAGTGTGAGTGAGCGAGTGAGTGAGTGAGTGAGTGAGCGAGTGATGAGCGAGTGAGTGAGGAGCGAGCGAGTGAGTAGTGAAGTGAGCGAGTGAGTGAGCGAGTGAGTGAGCGAGTGAGTGAGTGAGTGAGCGAGTGAGTGAGCGAGTGAGTGAGCGAGCGAGTGAGAGCGAGTGAGCGAGTGAGTGAGCGAGTGAGTGAGCGAGTGAGTGAGCGAGTGAGTGAGCGAGTGAGTGAGCGAGTGAGCGAGATGAGTGAGCGAGTGAGTGACGAGCGAGAGTGTGAGTGAGTGAGCGATGAGCGAGTGAGTGAGTGAGCGAGTGATGAGTGAGCGAGTGAGTTGAGTGAGTGAGTGAGCGAGTGAGTGAGTGAGCGAGTGAGTGAGTGAGTGAGTGAGCGAGTGAGCGAGTGATGAGTGAGTGAGCGAGTGAGCGAGTGAGCGAGTGAGCGAGTGAGCGAGTGAGTGAGTGAGCGAGCGAGCGAGTGAGCGAGTCAATGAGTGGTGTGTGTGTAGGTGAGTTTCAGCAGCGGCATGTTGTTTGGATTTGAATGTCTCCGTTTGCAATATCAAGGACAGACATTAGACCAAGAAATGGCTTGCAAAAGCAGCGTTCAAGCCACGTTGAAGTTATGGAAAAACTTCAGTTAGAAATGTATAAGGCAAACTACCACTACAAGCAGCATGGATTCAGAGACTTTACTAATTTACTCTTATTCACGACCATATTTTGATTTAGATTTTAATTCACTTATCTATTCCTTTGATGTTTATTTAATTTATTCATTCACACGCTTTGCAAAAAACAAGTGAATATTTTTACGTTGAATGGCAGAACAAACTAGCTGCGATCAACTATGTTTTTTATAACCCTTGGCGACTCGTCTCTGCTTATTCTTCGCAGTCCAAACATAATATCCACAAAGCCTATTTTTGCGTGAAATATTACCCGCCAGCGCTTCACATTTTATCAAATCCAGATGATAGAGACCGGTTTGTTCATTAGAATTGTAGGCTTCTTTTTATTGAATGATTATATGTAGATTTCATGGTAATTAAATTTTGCAGCTGCGAGTCCATCAAAATTTTGGTACGAATCTTTCATTTACAGTTTGTTTGTCAAAAGGTGAAAAAAAATATTGTGCACTGTCTGGTTTTAATGTGATGTTAATGGTTATGATGTGTTATAAATGCTATGTAAATATGTATTGTCCCCATAACATATAAATTATGCTTGATATAAAGTATTCGTTTGATTGTGTAAAGAATGGACAAAGCCATGTATATAAATATAGCCTAAGGTATTTCATAGAGGAAAAAAACTAATACAAGGGTCGCTATACATACATAATCAACATAAGGATTAACATAATCATTTTTATCTATTTGTATAAAAAAGGTTCTTTGTTCCTAAAAAGTTATTCGACACAGACAGCCTTTACCAAACTTATTACAATTACATTACAATACTTCGATCTCCTGATATATCTTACGCTGAAAAAAAAAAAAAAAAAAAAAAAAAAAAATATGTATATATATATAATATATATATATATATATATATTAATATATATATATATATATATATATATATATATATATATATATATATATACATACATATACATATACATATACATATATATATACATATACATATACATATTAATACATATACATACATACATATATCTGTTTATAGGTGCAACCAAAAGATCTTCCATTATCCAGATTTAAAGGAATAAAGAAGAAATCAAGATAAATAAACCACAGAAAATCGAGAAAAAAAATATTATTCAATTTCAACTCTTCTCCCCAGGACGCGCCCAGCTTCTCCCTCGTGTGGCGTCCGCTCGTCTCCAAGTTCTCCCGCGACCCGGAGTTGGTGTACTGGGTGCCGCCGCTCTACCTGTCGGGGGATACGCTCAGGTGCGCTTAGGGAGAGGCTTAGGTGAAGGTCCATGATAGAGTAGGGTCGGAGATACGGGCAGGTCCATGCTAGAGTAGAGACGGAGATACGGGCAGGTCCATGCTAGAGTAGAGACGGAGATACGGGCAGGTCCATGCTAGAGTAGAGACGGAGATACGGGCAGGTCCATGCTAGAGTGAGACGGAGATGGGCAGGTCCATGCTAGAGTAGAGACGGAGATACGGGCAGGTCCATGCTAGAGTAGAGACGGAGATATGGGCAGGTCCATGCTAGAGTAGAGACGGAGATATGGGCAGGTCATGCTAGAGTAGAGACGGAGATATGGGCAGGTCATGCTAGAGTAGAGACGGAGATATGGGCAGGTCCATGCTAGAGTAGAGACGGAGATATGGGCAGGTCATGCTAGAGTAGAGACGGAGATATGGGCAGGTCCATGCTAGAGTAGAGACGGAGATATGGGCAGGTCCATGCTAGAGTAGAGAGACGGAGATATGGGCAGGTCCATGCTAGAGTAGAGACGGAGATATGGGCAGGTCATGCTAGAGTAGAGACGGAGATATGGGCAGGTCCATGCTAGAGTAGAGACGGAGATATGGGCAGGTCCATGCTAGAGTAGAGACGGAGATATGGGCAGGTCCATGCTAGAGTAGAGACGGAGAGATAGGGGGCAGGTCGTGCTAGAGTAGAGACGGAGAAGGGGCAGGTCATGCTAGAGTAGAACAGGGGGCAGGTCCATGCTAGAGTAGAGACGGAGAAAGGGGCAGGTCCATGCTAGAGTAGAGACGGAGAAAGGGGCAGTCCATGCTAGAGTAGAGACGGAGATACGGGCAGGTCCGTGCTAGAGGAGAGACGGAGAAAATGCTAGAGTAGAGACGGAGAAAGGGGCAGGTCCATGCTAGAGTAGAGACAGAGAAAGGGGCAGGTCCATGCTAGAGTAGAGACGGAGAAAGGGGCAGGTCCATGCTAGAGTAGAGACGGAGAAAGGGGCAGGTCATAGTGTCCTAGAGAGAAGGGCAAGGTCATGCTAGAGTAGAGACAGAGAAAGGGGCAGGTCCATGCTAGAGTAGAGAACGGAGAAGGGCAGGTCCATGCTAGAGTAGAGACGGAGATATGGGCAGGTCCATGCTAGAGTAGAGACGGAGAAAGGGGCAGGTCATGCTAGAGTAGAGACGGAGATATGGGCAGGTCCATGCTAGAGGGCAGGTCCATGCTAGAGTAGAGACGGAGAAAGGGGCAGGTCCATGCTAGAGTAGAGACGGAGAAAGGGGCAGGTCCATGCTAGAGTAGAGACCGGAGGAAAGGGGCAGGTCCATGCTAGAGTAGCAGACGGAGAAAGGGGCAGGTCATGCTAGAGTAGAGAGAGATGGGCAGGTCATGCTAGAGTAGAGACGGAGAAAGGGGCAGGTCATGCTAGGTAGAGACGGAGAAAGGGGCAGGTCCATGCTAGAGTAGAGACGGAGAAGGGCAGGTCATGCTAGAGTAGAGAGAGGAGAAAGGGCAGGTCCATGCTAGAGTAGAGACGGAGAAAGGGGCAGGTCCATGCTAGAGTAGAGACGGAGAAAGGGGCAGGTCCATGCTAGAGTAGAGACGGAGATACGGGCAGGTCCATGCTAGAGTAGAGACGGAGATATGGGCAGGTCCATGCTAGAGTGCATGCTAGAGTAGAGACAGAGAAAGGGGCAGGTCCATGCTAGAGTAGAGACGGAGATACGGGCAGGTCCATGCTAGAGTAAGAGACGGAGATAGGGCAGGTCATGCTAGGTAGAGACAGAGAATGGGCAGGTCCATGCTAGAGTAGAGACGGAGAAAGGGGCAGGTCATGCTAGAGTAAGACGGAGAAAGGGGCAGGTCCATGCTAGAGTAGAGACGGAGAAGGGCAGGTCATGCTAGAGTGCATGCTAGAGTAGAGACGGCAATGAGAGTACTAGAGAGACGGAGATACGGGCAGGTCCATGCTAGAGTAGAGACGGAGTATGGCAGGTCCATGCTAGAGTAGAGACGAGAAAGGGGCAGGTCATGCTAGAGTAGAGACAGAGAAGGGGCAGGTGCATGCTAGAGTAGAGACAGAGAAAGGGGCAGGACTAGAGAGACAGAGAAAGGGGCAGTCCATGCTAGAGTAGAGACAGAGAAAGGGGCAGGTCATGCGCAGGTCCATGCTAGAGTAGAGACAGAAGGGGAGGTCGTGCTAGAGTAGAGACAGAGAAAGGGGCAGGTCCGTGCTAGAGTAGAGACAGAGAAAGGGGCAGGTCCATGCTAGAGTAGAGACAGAGAAAGGGGTAGGTCCGCAGGTAGTAGACAGAGAAGGGGAGGTCCATGCTAGAGTAGAGACAGAGAAAGGGGCAGGTCCATGCTAGACTAGAGACAGAGAAAGGGGCCAGGTCATGCTAGAGTAGAGAAGAGAAGGGGGCAGGTCATGCTAGAGTAGAGACAGAGAAGGGGCAGGTCCATGCTAGAGTAGAGACAGAGAAAGGGGCAGGTCATGCTAGACTAGAGACGGAGATATGGGCAGGTCCATGCTTAGAGTAGAGACGGAGATATGGAGGTCCATGCAGAGGTAGAGACGGAGATATGGGCAGGTCCATGCCCCATGCTAGAGTAGAGACGGAGATATGGGCAGGTCCATGCTAGAGTAGAGACGGAGATATGGGCAGGTCCATGCTAGAGTAGAGACGGAGATACGGGCAGGTCCATGCTAGAGTAGGCTAGGTCCATGCTAGAGTAGAGACGGAGATATGGGCAGGTCCATGCTAGAGTAGAGACGGAGATATGGGCAGGTCCATGCTAGAGTAGAGACGGAGATATGGGCAGGTCCATTCTAGAGTAGAGACGGAGATATGGGCAGGTCCATGCTAGAGTAGAGACGGAGATATGGGCAGGTCAGAGTAGAGACGGAGATATGGTGCTAGAGTAGAGACGGAGAATAGGCAGGTCC